CAATTAAATTGTATAGGTGTACCAACACCTAGACACTGCTCCAAGATGACTGTGTTAGCATCCATACATTCTAGGGGGATAAAAGTAAGTTTCTGGGTTCAGCACACAAAGGCTGTGTTTGCTAAATGCAAATAGTCTGGACCAGAAATGGTGTTGAAAACCCAGATTTTTGAAAGGTTTGAGTTTTCTTCACCCTAGTTCTTGTCTCATCTCATGGACTAAATGCCATGAATGGAGCATGAGTTATGTTCCAGGGGCACATTTTCATTTGTAAGTAATCTAGTCTGTGTGGTCTGACACTTCCCTAGTGTGAACTGAAGCATAGCTAATGTGTGACTCCTGGATCTGGCCTGAAATGCTAAGGTGGATGTGCATCAAAGGTGGGAGCTAGAGTCAGAGTCTGTCTCTGGAAAGTAGTACAAAACATCCTGATGATCTTAAAGAGTACAAGATGGAGAAGGGGTGAGGGGTCTACCCCTTTTTAAAGAAGGGGTGCTTTTCTAAGTGACTGTTCCCTTCTTCTTTACTGATGGGATGGCAACAATTGTGCAGCTATAATATCAGGAGGGGCCTTCTTGAGTTACAGTCTTCAAGACCAGTATTTTTCCTTTATTGCCTTCTCCCTTGAGCCTTGTAGGGTGGAGGGCACTTGCCACAGAGGGGAAAAAAAAAGGCATGACAGCAGAGAATCTGTCACTGGATTAAGGCATCTCTTAGAGAGTGCATTTCTGCTCACGTACCATAAGGGGAAGACTAGCTCTGCAGGAGTTTCTGGCAGGCCTTGCTTGGTTGTCTCATGTTTCTTGGTGTGGCAGAAGTCATCACGAACGCCTTTTCCCCGCCCATTTGTTGAAGAAAAGAGCAGGTTATACTGTTTCACTTTATTTCCTCTCTTGAATTTGAGGTGGGGTAGGAATATGAGGTCTGTCTGTCCTCCTCCATGCCTACATCATTGTATACTTGTCACTGAAGTGAAGTATGTTTTACAAATAAAGAAACTGTTTTCATAACTTTACCAGTATTGATTTTAGTTTGATTATAGATGATTCTTCTGTTCCTTCACTACCTCAAACAAGTTTTGATTTGTGGTCGATTAAAAGGTTAAATGACCCAGGCATTGTAATGTACAGCAGGCACATGAAGGTGGGGGAGAAAGAGCAAACGGATGATTTGGAGATCGGCCAGGGAACACATCCAGCTGACTCTTCTTGTGGGACTACAGCAGAGCCCCAGGGTTGACACCTTCATGAGAAGTATTAGAGTATGTAGCTTTGCATAAAATGTTACTGCCAAATAAAGATTACGCACTGCCTAAACTACCAAGAAAGTGATGCGCGTATAACCTAGAGAAATAACCATGCTTCCAGAATGAGAATGTGGGTTTAGGGAAAATAAACTTCCTCCTTTCGGAAGCTGAAACAGTACTTGCAACTACTTAACAATAAAGGTTGAAGCGCGCTACTGCAGTAGTGTTTCTAGGAAAAATACTTTTTGCATTTGTAGAAAGCCTGACTTGAAAGGATTTACAGGTGGTTTGTTAAGGTCCTGCATTGATGCAAGACATCAGTTGACAGTCACTGTATATTCTGTGACTGACTGGTCAGCCCGAAGATTCAGAGTGTGTCACTAGAAAGATATGTTAACATATGAGAATACTGATCTTCTGCTCAAGCACCTCTGGAAACATTCTCTTCTGCTTTTGGTTAAAAATGGGATGAAGACAGAATTGGTTACTACCAGGCATTTGTACATCTCTGCCAAACTCTCCCAGAAGTAGGCATTACAGGCAAAAAATACTGAATACTGTGATAGCAGATGTTACAGAAACTTGTGGATAGAAAAAAACGTGCCTAAAGTACAATGTGTTTAGTTCTTCTTAGCAATGTAAAGTGAGATAATATTTCCTGGTCATTGCCTTGCTGCTTGAAGCAAAACACTTTTAAAACTTTAAATACTCTTTAAAATGTTGCTTCACTGTCTCTTCAGAGAGTTTATTTGTTAAGTGTCCAGAAAAAAAACCCCCAAGACTGGAAAACTCCATTTCAGCAGTAAGCAGTAAACTTCTGTTGGGCTACCTTTGTGCATCTTTATGTGTAACCACAGAGCATTGGCTATGTTTGTCATTCCTGCTGCTAGCTACTGTTTCATTGCCAAAGCTTCTCTGAAGATTGTATACCCTTGAGAAGTCTCTCCAGAATACTGATAACTTGAGATTCATATGCAGAGAACACAGTACAAATGAGAATTATGCAGTATGCTTTTTTGCTATCAGGATGTATTATTTGGTATTTATCCAAACTAGGCTTATGATTGCCAGATGTGGACTACCAAAAGATGCACACAGAGGTGCTTTCCAAGGACAGCAAACAATAGCAAATGAGGCTTGTGGTGTTCTGTTTCAGTACATCAGTTCGTAGCTACCCTAAGGAGTTGGAGCCTGGAGCAGATCAGAGATTAGGTAACTGACTTTTGCTGGATGACCAGCAAACATGTAGCACACCAGGGTGCAAAGAGCCTGGCAGTGCTAGAGAATCAAGTAAGGTGGGAAAAGACAATATACAACTGGTTCATTGAATTTTATTGTCATCAACTCTAATGGGAGTGTGACAAAATCCAAAGTGGTATATTTGTTCACTAACATGTCTTTATATTATGACTATCTTCTCTAAGAGCACTGCCTGCAAATGTGAGCTGAATTCCACTTGGATTTCTTCTTTCATTTGAGTTTTACTACTTTCATATGGAAGAAACTTGATTAAATGTAGTAAATTGCTGTGGGGCTTCTTGTTGTGTGGGGGTTTTCTTGTTTATTTGGTGGTTGTTTTTTTTTTAAGAAAAAAAGTGTTATGAAGAGAGACATAAATGAATGACTGAATGCTATTTTTCTTAAAAAGTAAAATAATTATCGTACAAAAGCAGCATCCTTTCTCCAGTGACACAGGGGAAACAGAAAGGACTTAAAAACTTTGTGAAGAAATTATTTTTACCACTCTTTCCCTTGGGAAGGGTTCATGTTTCTTGACTTGTGTATGGCCAAGGCCACGACTTTTTCAAAGGTTTGTGTGTTACTGCATTATGCTGTTTATTTTGTTTGTCATTCTTAGCCAGCAAGTTATGTCTTTGATTTCTTTTCTATGACAAATGTAATGAAGCAAAAGTAGTGGAAAACCTTTGCACAAGTTGATTTAAGTGTTAATGACAGATAAGTTAGTTTCAGCTTGGCTGAAACATCTCATCGTCTCATCATTAGTCTAGAAGAAGACATGCCAACTGGTCTGCTTTGATAACACTACTAGCTCTGAGCAGCATTCTATCATATCACACATTATGTCTATTTTTCTCTTTTTAATGAATGACAGTAAGACTAGTACTGTATGTAATGTAGGAGGAAAGTGATGAATGTGGAAGTGGTGGCAGACTATGGGGAGTACTGTATTAGAAATATTGGTTGCATGGCATTTTTATCTTCTGAGTGGTCTAAACTGAGTACACTAAAAGAAGTAAAAAATCATGGGTGTAAAGCCATAGTTGTGAACAGGCATCTGTTAACAACGTTACTATAAACTTTTGGAAATAAGGTTATAATATCTTCCTTCAAAATGGTTGCTGGTTTGGAACAATTTCAAAGAAGCAAGGGGGATATGAACAGGGAAGAGAATGAAGAACTTCAGAATTCTGTAAATAAGGAGCTGTAGAGGTGAAGGTCTCTATTGTTTTCCAAGCTACAGCTTCACTGAGGAGCTGCTAGGTAAAGCAGTAGTCCAGAGCACTCAGCCTGGGTTCAGACTTCTTTGAGGAAAGGTGCAGAGAAATGTCTGCTACAGCAGTGTGCTTTGCTTTGACCTGCAGCACTGGGGAGATGAATGAAGAAATAGTGATACTTCAGCTTTTTTTTGCTGCCAAAAGGCTTTAGGGAACTGTAACTATTCCTGTATAAACTCACTGTAATATGGAAGACTTTGAACTTGCTTCTTGATATGTCCCATCTGTTGAACATCAGCCAAACCCAGGTTAAAATGTGTGTGGCTGGGTTTTTGTGGGGTTTTTGTTTTGATTTGTTTTTTTTTTGGTGTTTTTTTTCTTTGTTTGTTTTGTTGGTTGTTTTTTGTTTTGTTTGTTTGTCTTAAAGAAGGTCCTCAGGATTACTGACAGCACAACCTAAGCTCTGTTTCTAAGGGGGCAATGGCATTACAAGCAGACTATGCTGATTGTCATATAGAAAACACAGCATATGTGGTTTACCACATGATAGGTCTAACCTAAATCAGTGCAAGCCATCTCAAGGGAAGTCCTTCAACTGCCTGATGTCCTGCTAAGAGACTTAACATTGTTTTCAGTTTCTTCCTGCTAACTGATCACTCAGTATCCATGCTTTATTATTTTTTAATGAGTTTTTGGCACTGTAAATTCCTAAAGTTAAATCGGCCATGTATCTAGTTCATCAAAATTTGGTAGTCAAATTTATTATTGCAAGATGCTGCAGCCTGGAGCTCTCTTCTAATTTCTGTCAGTTGTTGTAAATACTGAGCATAAATGTTGAGTTCAAGCTGGTGTTTTTGCTGTTGACTGCTTTTTCTATCATAACATGTGTAACTGCATGTTTACATAAACAATGTGTACGACACCTAAAATGCATCTCAGCATGGGAAATGAGTTAAGTTTTCATCAAATATCTATTCTCACTTTCTGGCAGACTTAATTCTCATAGCCTCAGAAGCAGCAAAATGCCCTATGGGTTTCTCAAAATGCCCTGTGGGTTTCTTGTAGACGACTTTTGCAGCACATTTTACTGTTCATTCCACATGTTGATTGAGAAATATTGTACATAATCACCCTTTTTATCTCTTTAGCTGCAAAGATTTTCTTCATTGTGTTTGCTTGATGTACTGCAGAACATTTATTTGCCGTACACTTCTACCTTTTTAAGAAGAAAAATGCCGTCAGAATTTGTACAGCTGAAAGCTGAACATACTTATCTCTTGGCATTGTTTCTTTCCCAGGGAGTGCTGTCCAATATCTCCTCCATCACTGACCTGGGAGGCTTTGATCCAGTTTGGCTCTTCCTAGTGGTAGGAGGAGTTATGTTCATTTTGGGATTTGCAGGATGCATTGGAGCTTTAAGAGAAAATACCTTTCTTCTCAAATTTGTAAGTAGCCTTTGCAACTTCGGCATTCATTAATTACATAGCGTAAGTCATGGTCTTTGTTCCTGCTTAACTGTGTAAAGATTTTAAAAGATTGTAAAGATTCTTTTGGGGAATGGAATCTGATGTGAAGGTACTGTTCTGTGAATAGTTTTTCCTTAACTGTTAACACTTTACAGCACTTCGGTCTCTAGTGCTTACTGGTTTGTCTTTTTAAGGTTGGAAACTATTAATGGTAAGAATCATAACATGGAACTACTGCTTTTCATATGCATATAGCCTAACATTTTGCTTTCCTGTCATGGAAAGAGAAGTTTCTGCAAGGAACCTGCATGTTGAACTTGAGTCCACAACAAGCTGCCTATGAAATATGAGGCATGTAGATGCACCACTGAGTGTGACCCATGTGGTTTCAGCTGTGCAATTGCTCCTCATGGTACAGAGAAGATAGGACTGTTGTGAGGCTTTGCTTGCTGATATCCTCAATTCCGTACTGTTTACCCAATTCGAAAAGGCTTCTTTGCTTCCTGTCAGTGCTGAGGCCTGAGAGGAAGAAAGGGAGGAGAATGTGCCCAGGATAAGTAAATAAAATAGATGTTGTCTTCTTGAACTCTGGACTGGATTTGTTAGTTGAGGACAAGCTGATGATACACAAAGGTAGCTCAGTATTCAGAATGCCTTTAGCTAAGTAGACTGGTTTAGTTTTTTGAAAGGCCTCCTCCTGTAGGCGTTGAAGATGAAGATAATAGTATCATGTTGTGACCAGCAGGTCGAAGGAGGTGATCCTGCCCCTTTATTCTGCTCTCGTGAGACCTCACTTGGAGTATTGTGTGCAGTTCTGGTGTCCTCAACATAAAAAGGACATGGATCTGTTGGAACAAGTCCAGAGGAGGCCACAAGAATGATCAGGGGACTGGAGCACCTCCCGTATGAAGATAGGCTGAGAAAGTTGGGTCTGTTCAGCCTGGAGAAGAGAAGGCTGCGTGGAGACCTCATAGCAGCCTTCCAGTATCTGAAGGGGGCCTATAGGGATGCTGGGGATGGACTCTTCATTAGGGACTGTAGTGATAGGACAAGGGGTAATGGGTTAAAACTTAAACAGGGGAAGTTTAGATTGGATATAAGAAGGAAATTCTTTCCTGTTAGGGTGGTGAGGCACTGGAATAGGTTGCCCAAGGAGGTTGTGAATACTCCATCCCTGGCAGTGTTCAAGGCCAGGTTGGACAAGGCCTTGGATGATATGGTTTAGTGTGAGGTGTCCCTGCCCATGGCAGGAGGGTTGGAACTAGATGATCTTAAGGTCTTTTCCAACCCTAACTATTCTATGATTCTATGATTCTATGTTCCATTTTAAATAAATTTGAGATTCTTTCTGCTACCACTCCAGCTTCCAGATGGGGGCACAAGCCTGGGTAGTAGTTGTGTCTAATAACCATTAACTGTTAATACATACATGAAAAGGCTTCCAGTGAAATATCTGCGTTCAAATGACACTTTTGGCTCCCAAAGACATGTTTGGTAAGGGGAGGAGGCTTCTTGAGGCATTTATAAAACAGCTTGGAAGAGTTCTGACTTGCTCTCCTCTTGCTTGAAAAAAGGGGAGTGGGGGAAGCTATTGTAACACCTTTTTTCACTTCACTTCTCTTTGCTTTCCTAAAATGAGCCCATCTGCTGTACCAGAAATAGCTTCCTATACAGCAGCTGCAGGATAAATTAAAAATGCATCTGAACAAACACAGAACATATTAAAATGAAACCCAAAGGCACAATTGCAAAAGGGATGGGCTTCCAGTATATATGAGGACCCCTCTGTATTTTATACAGCGTAGACTCACTGGCGATCCTTAGAGAAAGTGGCAGATCATTAGTAATGCCTTTGGCATCCATTGCATTTGCATTAATCATAGAACCTCATTTGGTTTTAATGTGGATGTGAGTCATTTCATAGACATTCCGTTCCGATTTAGTCATTAATTAATTTCTGCTGTTACCAATTTTTGCTTTGTCTGCTTAGACAAAACTTCAGCAATGAGGGTGTCAAAAGAAAAGGTCACTTAGTATTCCACTGGCACTATTGGTTCTTTATGCCTTTGAAATTGTAAGTGCCTACCTAGAAATTTGAGTTTTCAGAGAGCCCTACAGGTGGTGAGTAGCCATGTGTGTTGAATTTACAGTGAACTCTCTTGGATCTCTTTGAAAATCACAGGGAAATGCCCAAAGTTTAAATTCCTTGGCATTTTTATGATTTGTTAGAATAGAATTAAGATCCCTGTACTACAGCCCTAATTAAAAAATGGGTATTTTTAATTTAAGATATCATGTGTGCTGGAATAGCTTGAACTTGCGCTGAAACAGGTAAAGCCTTAGCGGTGGATGTAATTGTGAGCCTTGAAGAACGTGGTTTTGGTCATAAAGCAAAATAATTTTAACCTCTTCATTTTTCTTTATAGTTTTCTGTGTTTCTTGGGATTATTTTCTTCTTGGAGCTCACTGCTGGTGTTTTAGCATTTGTTTTCAAAGACTGGATAAAGGATCAGCTTTATTTCTTTATAAACAACAACATCAGAGCATACCGAGATGACATTGATTTGCAAAACCTCATAGACTTCACACAGGAATATGTAAGTTGGACTATGTTTATTTATTTGTAAAGCTTACTTTGAAAAAATACCTACTCTATTTTTTACTTTACATCTGTTTGGTTTCTTCAAGGAACAACAGAAATATTCTGGCATATAGTACTTTTGAATATGTGTGTGTATATATATATATTTCTCTTTACAGAGCTTCTACAAACACACAGCACCTGTGACAGGTGGTTTATTTGTTAATGTATGACTGAGCAAGACAAGGCAGAGAGTTGGGGTAACTTATTCTTGAAGGTGATAGTATGTCAAATCTACAAGTCATATAAATCAGTCTTGTGTTCAGATTTTTTGACCATATTCCATATGTGTATGGAGATATTTTGGGCTTCTTGGGGAGAGGGGTGTTAAAAATATTTTATTGTGGGAGCTATCACGTCTGTTTAAAAAAAAGAAAAAAGAAAAAGAATATAATTTTCTAAGCTTAATTTGGTTCCAAGATGAATGTTGGTGTAATTCTAGCAATGTTAGAGACGCTACACCACACTGCAAAGTGGCAGAGATATTTAGGTGGTCTGGGTGAAGCTACAATGTTATTTCTTTTTAACCAGGCTTAATGAAATTAGCCTAATGAAGTGGGCAATTCATAGTTCTCATAGGAAATCTTTAAATGATGCTACATTTGCACTTGGAAGGCAAGGATAAAGCCAGAGTTGCACAAGCGTGTGTAGATTAAGCTCTGTAATTTATCAATGTATGTAAAGGAGTCTTGTACTGACTTTTGCACGCAAGTTTTGTCAGTGCCTTCTTACTTCAGTACTCAGTTCTGGTCTGTGTTGATTTGAATTTGGTCCTGTGTAGTTAACATGGTTGAATGTTGGATAACGTCACGTTTATTGGGTTTTGTACATTCTGCAATTAATGTATTTTTATTCAGTGTTTGATTTTCTTCTATTAGCCTTGGGGGCAAAAAAATGATGAGTAAGTAACAAGATGTGAATCTTTGCATTGGTTTGAATCTTGTCCATCTTGGAGAAGGTCAGGGGTCACCGCAGTCTGAAAGCAGTGTACCACTTGGATGCAACCAAAAGGCTACAGTCCGATTTTGCAGACACTACGTGAAACTTGCCTTCCTAAATGGATTAGCCATTTTAGCAGATAAATCAGGGACAGCATGAGTCTGGAGAGCAAGCTAATTTTTCAGCTAACAGAGAAAATGCTTCTGGACAGCATGTTCAGGTATTGCAGAGGGAACTGTGCTACATCTAGAGAGAGTTGTAATTCCAGTGCTTTTTAAAATGTGTTTTGTGGTTTCTTTTGTTTTGCTTTTATATATATATACATGTATATATATATATTTGTTTTGAAGTTGAGTTGGGTGGGTTCATTGAACTAGCTCTTTAAATGCTGTAAACCATCAGTCTTCCACTGATCTCCAATCCATTCTTTGTATGTTCAGCAAGTCTTACCAATTCCCTGTGTGTTGGCATGTTTTGCCAGAGTCTAGGCATGCTGTTGGGCATTACTTGCTTTTTGAAGGATTCTGCTTGCCTTCAGTAAAGATGTGTTGCACAGACTGTGATGCTCAGGATAAATGTGTTCATGTTGTCTGATGTACAGGCAAAGATTCCCCCACACTGGGAAAAGGAGTACCTATACCAGTGTAGCCCTTGGAGCTGATTAGTTAGGTTGCAAACCCAGGGCACGTTAAACTGGATAGAATATTGTACTCTTGGTTCTACTGTCCCTGGGGCCTGAGCTTGTAAGCTGGTACAAATCTGCAGTGTTTTTGTAGGCATATCAGCTCACTTCTGTGTGTTTTGCTCCAGAGAGTGGTGTTGCAGGGTGTGAACATAACATTAATCACATTATAATTTTAATAACTTAAGGTATGGCATAGTATTGATTTTTAAAAATGCAAACCCAAGTCAGCTTCAATGAAATCAGAGGGGATCTCAGGTTTTGTTTTGAAAGCTAGAGGGAAACTGGCAGCAGTGATGCATGTTACTGAGATTTGTTTGTTTTGAAAGTCAAAAAGTTCTCCTTTCTTTGTTCTAGTGGCAGTGCTGTGGGGCTTTTGGAGCTGATGACTGGAACCTGAATATTTACTTCAATTGCACAGATTCCAACGCAAGTAGAGAACGCTGTGGTGTTCCGTTCTCTTGCTGTACTAAAGACCCTGCTGTAAGTGACATTCAGGAGGGTAGGAGGAGTCTGCTGGTCCAATTTTAAATCACTTTAAGGTTATTTTTTTCCAGAAGTCACGCACGATCATTACCTTTGCATCAAATTGTATTGTTTTGTTCTTGCAGATCAGCTTAACCACTAACTTCTTTGCAGTCAGCAAAAATCTTTAGCTAGCTTCAGTCTTCATGCTGTTTGCATGCTTTTTGCTGCTTTTCATTAGAATGAGAGAACCATGGGCTTGGCTGAACATCCATATTAATTTTAGCAAGTATAAAAACCAGAAACTCTTAATGAGTTGAAGGATATGAGCTTTCAATTAAATATCATCAGGGTATTTCATTCGCTGACTTAAAGAATGACAGCTCTAAGACCAGACACTCTAAAGCAGCACTCATTATTTCGTGCAGTATCAAGAGGCTGCAGCTAGTTTGACCCAGTTTGTGTATGTATGGTAAATGAGTGACAGTCTGTGCCCTGAAGAACTGACATATGTTTGCATTAGAATCTTGAATCAGGTATGGACATCTTTACACACTCTTTTTGTATTTTTGAAATTACTGCTTGTTCTACAGTCACCTGAGATCAGACTTGAGTGTCAGAAATTGTTTGAGGGAACAGCTTTCTGACAAATTTCCATGTCTTTTAAAATAGTTACAGCTCTGGATCATCAAGCAGAAAATGTTGGAGCCATGCATTACTAGTACGGATATGATCAAGAATGAAGGGTAAAGTGTAATGAAAGCAGTTCACTGGCAGTGAAAGGCTTGGAATAGGGATGGGTGTGTGCATGGAAACTTACATGGCTAACACTGCAGTTTTACATTTGACTTTCATATATCTTAAAAGAGCAGCCTGTGGGTGCTTGTATTACCTAGTTGTTCAGCTATGGCTTTTTTTCCACCTGGAGTGACTTACATTTCCTTCAGTGTGTGAGTCTCTAGCACTGACTGAAGTGAGGCAAACACCTCAGGTGCTTCCTGCCTTGCTAATGCAATGCAGTCGCTGCTCCCACATCTGGTCACTACTGGTGCTCTCTCCCTCTACTCACAAGGCACTGCCAGTTGCACAAGCTGTGTTCTGGTTCCTCTGCAGTGAACATGTCCTCACAGTAGTTTGAATTTTTCTCACAAATATTACTGAAATTGTTTTAATGATATATTGAAACAAAATATAGGTTAGGCTCAAGCATTACATTATGCTTTGGAATCCCCCTTTTGGATTCCAGTCTGCCCGCTAACCCACACAGAAAGGTCATCGCAACCCAGTTTTAAAAATCTAGTTGTTATAAAACCAAACTAGTGACAGCAGTACGAGGTAATCCTATAAATACATAATCCACTAAAGTTCTCTCTCTCTATTTGTGTATATAGTTATGCAGTTTCTTAATGGGTGATGCAGCAACCAGAAAATTAAAGATAAGTCTCATTCTTATTCACTGTGGGGAAGCAGCACACTTTTTTTTTTTGTCTTCATTTTTAAAGTCAATTAATATTTCTAAAAATATTTGAAGTCATGCATATAATTAATGTAACCAAGCTGTGCCTCGTTCAGTTTCAGTAATTAATAATCATGGGTTTATTATGTAGGAAAGCAAATTTGTCCCTTTTGGAATTAGGATGCAGTGTTGGAGAGATGCAAAAAGTTATGTGGATGCTTTATTGCACATACCTTACTTTTAGTTTAGCTTGAATTAGGAAGTAGCAAATTTAAGGTAGGCCAAAGTAAGTCTCATCTAAACCAAATTATAGTTCACTTTGCTGTAGTTTAGCAGGTTGAAATTTTCCAAATTCCTGTACAGGAGAGGCCTAGGAAAGTTGATTTATTTCCATTTCATTCTTCACGCTCTCCTTTGGTTAGCAAATTCCAAGGCTAAAGGCAGAAGACACCGATGATAAAGCAAACAGGAATTCATTACAAAGAAGAAAGCTTAAAATTCCTCTGTTGGACTCTTATCTACTTTTGCAGCCTTGAAGAGCATGGCATTTGTATTTTAGATCCTGGAACAGAAGTATTCATCTCATTAAAAGATAAGGATTGCTAAAGTCCTGAACGTCCTTTGAGGGAGTCCAACTTGGGCAACTGACAGGATGCAACCTGTTGATGTACTTTCTGAAAAGAGCACTTAGAGGAGCTTTAACTGCTGATAGGAGATATTTGTTACCTAACATCTGCTTTTTAAAATCTATTTGTGTGCTGTCTGCCTTTCTCACTCCCCATAATTTGATTAAATTGTGATGTTCAGTACACCTAGCTAATATTGTCTGACTTTGGAACTTTGTTGAGTAGTTTCTTCTTCTGCTCACTATATGAGACAGTAGCTTAATATTTTGCTGCCATTGTGGCTGGTGCAAGTAGTTGCTTCATTTTGTTGCCCTGAAATCTGTATAAAGAGTAAATGCAGCTTCAGCTTCTAATGGGTAGTGCTTGCTCACTAGAAAAAGTCTGCCATAGCCTATTTTATTACCTGTGCTTTGGGAGTACTTAAGCAGAGGCAGCAGGAAAAAAAAACATCTCACCTCCTTTCTTATTGCTGTCAAGCTCCCGTAAGAAAGAATAGGCAGTAAGAATACATTACCCCACCTCTTCTTTTTCCTCCCTAGTTTTTAGAAAGGAATTAGTTACTGTATATATTTCTACAGACATCCTCCCTAAGAATTTGCAGCTTCTGCAACAGAACTGCCCCTTTTCATTTCTTCACACTGTACAGACAGTATCCTGAAAATGTTAACAGTAGTCTTGGCGTGTTTTTCAGTATAGACAAAACCTTTTCAGGAGAAGGTTCTTTCATTTGAAATAGATGTCCCCAGATCCTTTTACTTTGACTTCTGAATGTTTGCATCTGAAAGATGGAGTTCACCCTGGTGGAGGGCCAGTTTTCCAAGCTTGCTGCCTTAGGAACTGAAAATATTTTTCGACCACATGCTTTTGTTTATTGTAAATAACATAGCACTGAATGGAAAAGGGTTCTTAAACAGCAATATGGTGACCAAAGTTACGAGTGTTTGTCTTGTTACATACAGGAACAACTCTGGGAGCTAGGAGATGGTGTTTAGGATACACTTCACTGATTGCCTCTCTTCTGTTTGTCTTCTAGGAAGATGTTATTAATACTCAGTGTGGCTACGATGCAAGGCAAAAACCAGTAAGTTTTGGTACCTTAAGGAGCTGAATCGCTCTTGCAAGAGCAGGTTTTTCTGCTGACGGAATAGTAGAATGTAACTATCTGTTTCCCTTGCTGCTCTTCTTGGCAGGAAGTTGATCAGCAGATTGTTATCTACACTAAAGGCTGTGTCCCTCAATTTGAGAAATGGTTGCAAGACAATCTTACCATAGTTGCTGGTATATTCATTGGGATAGCATTACTGCAGGTAAACATTATGCTCTATGTAATGAGTTACATGGAAGAATAACAGATAAATAGAACACAGGAGGGAGGGGGAACTGTATAAGAGAACTAGAAACAGTTACACTTAGACGGATAATGTCCATAGGTTTTGTTGAGGGGGAGCTAAACGCATGAGGCTTTCTTTGTGTTAAGGAGTATCTAATGTTATTTGTTTGTCAGGGTGCATTCTTTTTCTGTTTCAACTCTCTGCAGGCCAAAACTGAAGCTCTGTGTTAGATAAAGTTTATGTAGGGACTTTTAAGTCTGTACAGGCCTGCTATTTCTGATGGTGCTTAAGTAAGCAGCAAAAAGCCTTTACAGTTGCTTTTGTGAAGCAAGTCTAGAACTGTTGAATTTCCTGGAACCCAGTGACACTATAAAAATACTGGGGTTACAGGATTTTTTCCAATTCTCTTCCTTCTTCCAATGCTTACTGTTAATTTGATTTCTAACTTTCTGTTGCTTGTTTTCATATCAAAGTTCCGTAAAACCTAAGGAGTTCTACCTGTGTGAAAAGAGTTGTGTGATGCTCCAAATGAATAAACTGTTGTCTCTTCCAGATATTTGGGATATGCTTAGCCCAGAATTTGGTTAGTGACATTGAGGCTGTCAGAGCCAGCTGGTAAAACTGCTGAAGTAACCACAAGAAGACACTGGACAACCAAAACCCTCTGAAACCTCCAGTGTGTCGCTGCGACACCAAGCTGTATGGACATGGGTGACAGGGAAGTCTTCTCTCCCAAGTAGTCTCAAGTATAAGTTCCTGATATTGCAGTGAACTCGCGTTTCTTTGGGGTGGGGTGGGGGGGGAGAAGAGTGGGCTATTTAAAATCTGCTGCTCACTGACAGTTCTTTTTCTTTTAAAAAAGCTTTTGAAAGCTTTTCAAGCTCAGTTTGAAAGCTCTTGAGCCGTGAATCTCTACTGTATTGATCCGGAGTAACAAGTGGACACTGTTTTTAAAGTTGATGTATTCAGTGAGATGGATTTGCATCGTTGTAGTCTGTGGATATGCTGTTTATTCTTCGTGTCATGAGCTCTTCGATAGCTGCCAAATATTCTGGAGATGGTCTCTCTCCTCACCACTCTGTAAAGGAACAATCTTCTTGTTTCCACAGCTAAACATAGCTACAGGCCTAAACCCATCAAGCAGGAAGCAACTTTCTATGCATCTATTGTACAGTAAAAGAGATTGTTTTTAAAACAAGGGAAATATTTTTTTTTACGCAAGCTTCCAACCATCTCCCTGCAGTACTTTGAGGTTGGAATCGGCAAGCTCACATGGAGAATTGCCTGATTTTATCGACATCTTCCTTCCTTCTGCACCCTTGTATGAAGGGAAAGGAGTTTTATATTTGACAAACAAGGGCTGAAGAGCCCTTGGTTGCTGCCATACCTTAGGACATCAGTCTCTTAAGGCAAGGATGGAATATAATTGTATAAATGTATGAAAGAAGTGTGGATGTTGGGTCCAAGTGAATAATATTATTCAAAGAATGAATGATATATTAACTTAAAAAAAATGAAAGCATATGTATTTGAGATGGCTTAATCTTTTGTTTCTCTGGAATTTAGTGTAACCTAATGTATTTAGGGAATCTCACTAATATTAGTGTTTTGATATACTTGTGCAAAACTTCTTTTTTGGTCTGTTCCTAGCTGAGGCATTGGTCTTTCATTTTTCATTTTTCTTTAACTGTTTTTGCTTGCATGAGCTGTGGAGTAAGAATCTGTGACACTCCAGTGCTTTAAATATGTGCATATATTTTAATACAGTCTATCCAAACTTACTGGTAAATGCATGTGATTATGGAAAGATCATATCCCATTCCCTTGGAAGTTGGAGAGAACACCTTTGCCAGAGTAAATGCTTACCTCCTGTGAATAAGTCCTGTCTATGGAGATGATTCTCCCTTTGTTGCTCTAAATGCAGCAAAAAGCTTTCTTGAAGCAGTGGAATCAACGTTTTAAAGTAGAAGTGTGTATTGGGATCAGCCAGGACACACTCTGAATTAGACAGAAGAGAATAGAATTTGGAATAAAGCACAAATAGTGGAAGAAGAATTAGATCAGATTCCATCCATCTGAAAATTTTTGGTTTGTTCTTCTTCACTAAAAGTGAACTTACAAACCTGACCATGGCTTGAGTAGTTTTATTGCACTTTGTATAAATATATCTTGTTGTACAACCTTTCTCAGTATCCGCAGAACCAGTCCTAAAAGCTGTCAGCTCTTGTCTCCTGCTTTGGTCAGGAAGTGGCAAAGAGTACGTAACACCTCTTTGTAAGAGCTTAACATATTTCTGAGATGAGTTTTGTAAGTATGTGGAGTAGAAGAGATGAATGCATTGCTTTCAAAGCTTCCTTGTTCCGGGCGGTGGATAGAAGGCTGGTCTGATGACCTATTAAGGACCTTTCAGGTCCTATGACTCTTGAACCATGATAGTATATGTACTCTTGCACATTTTCCCTTTCTGTGCTTTAGGAGGCCATAGTTTTTCCCCTTCTGAATGCTGGTGGTAGGCACACTGGTGCTCCACAGATGCCTCAGACAGTCTTGTTGTCCTCCTGTCTTTGAGCATTACCTCATCTTCTGGTTAACTCCCACTGACTGGCTCTGAATCAGGCAGCCTCCATCATATCCATTGGTATCTGCTGTTAAAGGCCAGTTATGACTCATAAAATAATTTTTTATTTTATTTTATTATTTTTAAGCCTTTGAAAACAATTATAAATCACTGTCCTTAATAAAGTTGGTTGCACTTCGCCAGAGTGTTATGTTTTTTTTTTAGCCACTCCTAACCTGAGGAGTTGCTGGTGTTTGTTTCCCCCCAAAGGGACAGACCCTTTTGCCTGATAGCAGCAGGACAGGCAGATCATCAGCACCAGTGTTGATGCCCTGAGCCAAAATGTTGTGGGGAGAAATCAGGGAAGCGTGGTTGAGGAGCTAACCCATCCACCTCAGAGCCTTGATTGTGATCCAGTGCTTTGGTTTGGAGAAAAACGAAAAAATGAAGCCTACAATACAGAAACATTCCTTATTGCTACTGGGCTTCTGAAGACAACTTAATTTTTCTACTTGAATTTCCGCAGTTGTTCTGTACTGTCCTTCTGTCTTGTCACACTGTTCTCTGAGTTCCAGTCTGCTGGATGTGCTGTTGGCAGTGTCAGACTAATAGGAAGGTAAACACTCTGAGGTGAGCAAATCTTGTTCTCACACACAAATGTGCAAGACTTCTGCTGAGTCCCAGAATGACTGACTGTTCTCATAAAAACCACTAAATAACTTATTTTTCTAGAGCTTGATTTATTGCTGCAGATGCTGATACTCCCCTCTTCCCCGCTCCCAAGAGTTGCTCTTCTTTTCCTCATTTTTGCAGTTGTTTGATGGTTGCATACTGAATGTTCAGGACTAGCTGTCTATATTGCACATTTAAATCCCATGGTTTTTGTCTACAGATTGGGTAAGATGTCCTAGAAATGCACCATCAGCAGCTACTCAGCAGCTAAAGTGTCCAGTTTGGGAAGTTTGTGGGAGGCCTTGGAAATGAATTTATTAATGTCGGAGCCTGCCAAATGCAAGCAAGCTTTCTTCCAGAAACTTTTGTGAAAACTTCAGGTGAGCTGCAACTAAAGCACAACTGCTGGCTATGTGTGCTCATTTTCTAAAGCAATAAGATATGATAGGCAGTATGACTTGTTGGCAGTTCCTGCCTGGTGTGATGGTAGAGTTGACTTGAGTTTGGAGATCAGTCTAATTATCTTCAATGCACAGTAGTTGTTCAGAAATTTGGTGTTAGGCCTTTGTGGAGTGTGAAGTAGCTCTGTTTGCAGGGCGATGTGTATGGGATGATGGCATTACTAATGAGAGGTCTGGTAGCTTCAGCAGTAGCCTTGGCTTTAAAGCCGTTTCCAAACTGCCCACTGAGCCCTACCAAAAGGCACCACAGTCCTTGCTCCTCTGCTTTTTAAATACTCTCCATGTTCACAGGCCTTTGATCTATTTTTTTTTTAAATCAATAGTCTAATGGGCAAATGTTTGATTTGTCTCAGTGTGTCTGTTTTAGTAGCAGTAGGATCTCTTTGCTTCAAAACCCATAATTTTGATTGTGCCCCTTAGAGTCTGAAGCTACAGAGATGCTTGCTCAAGTGTACTCTCTGCTGAAAGCCGCCTTCTCTCCCCTTTGAGAGAGATGCTAATCGTAGTTCTGGTGTGTAAATAGTGTTTGAAATGTAAATAGTAGCATGCAGATTAAGTGATCCTTGCACATGACTGCTTTTCACCCTAAAAGTGTTTATTATATATACGAAGCGTGTCCCACCGTGAGAGTTTGCCGAAGAAAAGAGAGCGGTATCTTGAGGTTATATCTGGTCCTGGAGATGGCGGAGGCAGTGCTTTCATCGCCTGCCCTCTAGTGTCCGCCCAGCCGGCGTGCAGCGGGCACCGGAGAGCGGTGAAGGCCTGGCCAGCCTCCCGGGCTCTGATTTAGCAGCAGGACCTCCCTTGCCTTTTTCCATTGCTGCTTGGCACTAGAACGGCATTAGACTGTAAAATGGAGGGTCAGAGTCAGCAGCCCCTACCACTTACAGGAGGTTGCCATCACTTGCAGCAGGACTAAACATGGTGCTATAAGACCTGTCCTGATGCTAATCTGTGATTTTACTACTTTAGAAAGGCCCTAGGTAAAATTGATTCTGATTAACAATGTTGGTTACAAGAGAAACTGTCATGTGAATTTCTGTTTCCCTTCTTGTGATGCGTGCCTTTTGGGTACACTGAAATCGCAGTTCTGCAAATACCTAGGAAGAAGATTAGGTCTAAATAGGCGTCAAGCACCACTGAAAGTTACAGTTCTCCCTCCCATTTTTGTCTTCTCTCTGAAGCTTTTTCAGATGCCTATAATTGGTCATGAAACTGTCTAAAGTGAACAAAACAAAACTCCCCTGCTGGGTCCGTTACATACCAAATTTTGCCACTTGAAAAGAAAAAATAAAGTTTTCTGTCTCTCTTAACACGCAGTGTAAGTGTTGTGACTCCTAGCGTGCACCAGGTAGCACTGCTAGCTGTCTTTTGTGTTTTGACAATATAGATGTGTTAATAAAAAAGATCCATCTGTATGTATGTTCATGTTCACGCTGTGTACAGAGCAGAGACAGACCTGGAACTACCTTGAGTAATGGGGAGATTGGGATTTGGGTTTTGTGACTCACCCCTGTCTCTGAAATGTGTATTCCAGATTAGTTCCAACTGAATCTCTCTGGTTCATCCCGAGGTGTACAGCAAGGTGTTGATATTTACCCTTTGTGTATCATTCCTTTTTATACGAATGTATTCTCTTGTGTTCCTTTTTTATCAGTTGTAAAATGGATTGTAAAAGCCAACTACACCTACCGATTGAAAGTATTGCTATAACAGAACTGCATGCCTGGTAGAGTTTGACTTGAGCTTTAGTTTTCTGATTTTGGACTGGTTACCTTCAGTCTAGGAGAAAAGCATAGATCAGGTGCATAATATATTACTTGTCATCTTTAGCATTAGACTGTGGTGTTGTATCACATGCTGATCTCAATGGATGTAACTGGAGTCTACTTAGGAAGTTAATGCAACTTCCTGGTAATTCATTTTAAGCTATTGAAAGTGGTCTTGATCATGCTACTTGTGTTCTTTGGGTTTTGTTTTTTAATAGAGGCATTTTTTAGGAATGTTTTAATACACTTATGATGGACAATACAATAGTTTTAATAGTTGTGCAGTATTCTGTATTTACTTGAAGTAAATCATTTTTTATGCAATTTGTTAGATAATTACAATTTTATAAATAAAATGGCGTGAAATCTGACGTTGTGAATGTGTACTCTTAGTTGTAGCACTTAACATTAATGGTGCAAAGATATGTACATGCAAAATCCCTCCAGGAGAAAAACCCCTGCCTCCTCTCCCCCAAACTAATAGGGGAAATAAATCCCCAAGTCTCTCATACACAGCCTAAAATACTGTGTTCTGATTAAGCCACAAAACACATTATCATGGTGCCAGTGGCTGCCCTTAAATGAATAATAAGCTAACACGTGAAGAGCACATGCCCAGGTGAGGAGATCCCGTACCTACTGTCAGCTGTTGTTGAAGTCTCTGGCTGATGAACATGCTCTGCTTTTCTCCGACATGGCAGTGTTCCTGAGTGCTGCAGCTGCTGGTTAGTACAACTGTTGGAGCTTTCCCATTATCATTTTGGTGACCCTGAAGCGTTCAAAAGTTGCTGCTTTGCAGTGGGCAGCACCAAGGGGATTTCATGACTTGATCAAGCTTTTGTAAAGGAAGGTGGGCATTTCCCTTTTCTAAGCAGAAGTACTGAGAGCTGACTTACTTTATTGTGCAGGTAAAAATGGGTAGTGATGGTCTTGTGCTCCTTTAGAGAGGAGGAAGAAGGAGGCCTCCTTTTTTTAGTATTTCAAAAACTATAGAGCAACCTAATCCAGGATCTCAAAATTAGTTTTGTTGACAAAATACCACTGTGATTTAAAAGCACATCTCTGTATCCAAACTGAAGTCCAGTGCCTTTTGCATGTTTCAGGCACGTACATTTATCGGAACATACGGAAATGACTTGTCAAAATAAGAATGCAAATGTGGAGGCCTTGGGCAGAGGTGAGGGGAAAACGAAAACCAGAAAGAAGCAAAGTCAAAGGCATTGCCTAAATCTTTGTAATGTGCAAGAGATGTGACACATCAATAGCCATTTTCATGATGGAGGGGGAGACTGGAGTGGCTTCCTGTGTTCTGTCACACTCCTAAAAGGCTTTGTGTACTGTTTGTTGAAGCTATGGCTGGTTTCCATTTCTAGGGCTCCTGAAACAAACGACCCTTCTGGGTCTCGTGGTCTTATTTGACCAATGGGTCCTCCGGGTCCAAGGCCCATATTGTTGGGGTTTGTGCCTTACCCAAAATGAAACTTTGCCTTGTATTTCCACACTGTGAAAGTAAAAACATGCATGCTGTTTGTGTTCCTGTCTGGTGTGCTGTTAGGTCTTGCAGGAGCCATTACAGGTGCAGACAAGTGTAACACGCCAGGGAGGTGCTGCCTGCCCTGTGCAGTGTTGCAGCAGTGATTGCTTTAGCTTGGTTTGCTGTGGCAGTAGACTAATGACAAGGCCTGACATCTGGCATCACTGTCATAAAAATAGTCTGAACAGGAGATGTCGAGCTTTGCTTAGATGTAATCCATCTACTAAGCATCTAATTAGAACTGTTGTTGGCAATGTCGATTCAGTTGACTTCAGTCAAGTAGTGAAATGCAAACGATCCTAACGAGCTTAGAGCTTGTTCCTCTTACTGAGGCTTAGAGGATAAATGATTTACTCGCTATGTAAAGTGACCTGCAGACAGCGCCATGTCCCACAACAGCATTTGTGTGGGTAGACATAGTCTCTGCAGTTACCTCCTCTTACTGCATCAAATGCCATCTTTGCCCTTGTTCAGGCTTTCCTTCTGTGTACAGCTTTTATCTAGAAATGTAATATTCACTTGATAGTCCATCCAGGGAAACCGTCTGAAAGTGGGATATCAGTGTTGGCTTTTGTGCTTGCTGCGACAGTGGTATCCCTAATAAAAATTTGGTAATAAGGATAAGGCTAATGCTTAACCTGACTCCAGACAACCAGGTGAATGGGGAATTTTGTTGGTGTCACAACTTTGTTTGTTACCAGCTTGTGTGAGCACTTGGAGTTTATCCTGATTTCAAAACAAACAGTCTCTTTGTAGAACTAGG